GCACCACCAAATTGTACACTTAAAAATGGTCTAAGATGGTAAATTTCGTGTTACGTGTATTTTATCACGATTAAAAGATTTTTAGTTTTTTTAAATCCCAGATGACTATCTTTCTCCTTGACATTCCTTTAATGTGAAAAGCGGTCTCCTTCTTGCCTATTTCTCCATACAACACTGAAAAGATCAACACTCAATGGCCATGATTTGATCAGATTCACAATTTTCTCTTTTCTTAATGCTGAATCAAGGTTGAGGGGTAAATTGTTAACTGCCCTGTCCTCTGGGAATAAAGCCATGAGAGGACAGGCCTCTTGAGGCTGGCACACCCTCAGTGGTGATCCCGCCCCGTCCTTCCTATTGCTCACGGGATTAACATGAATTACAACAACCAATCAAACCTCGTTTTCCATTACTAGGGGTTTCAGTGACAAAACTCCCACATACATGCTCTGCACAAAGACTGGAGCTGATTCCGACTCTGCACATCAGTGACTTATTCCAAGTACAAAGTGACATGTTTACTCTCCCTCACAGAGTTAGTCACCGCTGCTATTCCACTGTATACTTCTGACATTACACAATGTCCAAGCTGTTCCTTGATAAAGGAAATTTGCCCACAGCTTATTCTTCAAGCATAATATTTGCCAGACACTGTAGGTAGCCTCTCCAACAGCCCCCCGCCCTGCCACCTTCCTGGCTGGCAGAGCTACCTCTTATTATTAAGCCTGCAAAAAGTGATGCTCACTCTCTCAGCAGTCCATGCAGTCAATGGGATGAAATTTGAATCAATCCTAGTCAATGAGACCTAAGGGGGAATATGAGACTTTATGGAGAAGATTTACCTCCCTGAAAAAGAGAGATGTGGAGAGAAACTTCTTGCCTTTGGGCACAGTTATCTGAGGACATAATGCCTGGAGCTATGGCAGCACTCTTGCAACCATGAGGGGATGGTAAGGACAAAAGTCACTCAAGTATGACTAATTGGAAGGTTGGAAAGAATCTGCATCTTAATGTCACTGCTGAGCCACTTAATTAAACAGCACTTGCGCCTAGACCTCCTGTGTTAAGGCCTTTTATACTCTCTTGTGCACTTTTTTCCCTACTGTTACTTGAAGCACAAAGCAACCTTCCAGTACAGGTATTATCTTCACTGCTGTTTTTACATGCTTCTTGGAAATTGTTATTTGCACTTTCTTTTGCTATAAGAGCAACTTCAATTTATGCCATTGTAGTTTTGCGGTATTTAGTGATAACATACATTGATTTTGGATGGGAAAGCAATATGTTGCAGTTGTTCTCAGAAATCTCTATTGCTTTATGTTAGAGGTCATTATGCTTTGTTTGAAAATGACACAAAAGCTTTGACAGCTTCATGCTACTATTTGGCAAAGTTTCAGAACAAGCAACTGAATAGGAACAAATACATAGTGGAACCAACACAATTCAATTTTCAGGTGCTACAATTTTTTCTAGATATATTTTAGCTTTTTGGCTCATGACCACTTATCCCAGCATTCGTACATTTCTATACTACATGTGCATGGGACTCAATTTTTAAAAATCAATATTGATTTTGCTGACATTATTCTAAATTGTAGCAATTATATTATCTTATTACAACTTTGATGCTTTTGAGCCATTAATCTATTTTTTGATTTGGGGATGTAATGCAATAGCAACCCTGAAAAATGCTAATATAATGACTGTAAACAATAACACACAAAAGGAAAAGTACATGAAAATAACACCTTATTGCCTGAATGCTAGGCAAGAGTCCATTGTAGTCCTTGGGGTCCATGTGCAACCTTCAAGAGCACAATTATTAAGGGTGTAACACTGTTTCTGTGCAAATCACCAGTTTTAAATATTTTCTTGCTTGCTTTCTCTAAAATTTACCAGTTAGGAGATCATCAGTGACCACCAGTGGTTCATGGAATATATTTTGAGAAACACCACTCTAGGATCAAATTCTCACAAAAGTTTCATCTTCTGAGGCCCTACCTGGGGATATAATAATTGGTTCTTCTGGGGACTCAAAAGCTTCAAAATCCAAAGGGATTTTGGACCCTCTGCTGATGGGTCGGGTAGATATTTTTGGATGGAGGTGAAGGGCCACTTTCCAGCTTCCCTTCAAATCACATGATCACCTGCCTCCCCCTTCTGTTCTAATTACAGCATTCACATGGCCCGAGTGCCTTGCCGGTGGCAGCAGCAGTGGGACCTCTCCAATAGCTTGCCACGTGTTGACCCCCAGCTCAGTAGAGGGTGGTGGCGTAATGAGAAGAATGACCCCTATTGGAGGCAGCAGGCTCCTGATATGTGACTCCAAAGTGCTCTCCAGTCACTAACCACATGCAACCAGTGTGCCCCGCAACACAGCCTAGGATTTGTAAGAAGCACCTGTGTACTGGTTCGCTCCAAGGACCTTTCCAGGTGGAAGAGTAGCCCCAGAGGGCTGCCCCCTCTCTATCTTAGCCCCTGCACCTGACAGTTCCATCAGCTTCCACTCAGCAACAGCTCTGAGAATGGAGTGAGTAGATTAAGAGGTCAGGTAACCCCCAACATAGGGATGTTCATAACCTCCGCTCTGGTTAACTGTCTTATCCCAGCCTCAGGCCTCCGGGCTGGCCAGGGTCCAACACAGTAAGGGGAATCCATGGGCATTGTTGTCCAGGACTCATATCCATAAAAGGCCTTAATTTTAGATCTTTGACATATTTCCCAACAGAGGCACATACATCTTCTTGTGCATGTTTTAATTTTTTAAGGTAAACATCTAAAATACACACTTTTTAATAAAATCATGTTTTGGCATTTCTTCATTTACTATATTTGGAGCCACAAAAACATGGAAGCAACCTGAGCCCTTCTGACCCTGGAGCTGGTTGAGCTGCAGTAGCATGAGGCATTGTCCCTCCCGAGGGGACGCTCCTCCCTCCCAGCCAACAGCGATGACCAGTGCAGGAAGCCAATTTTGCAAATGCCAAGGTGCAGGCGCTTCATCCCCAGTTCGGTTTGAGAAATCTGGACTCAGAGCCCCAAGCCAAGAGCTAATGCTGACAGCATTTCACTAGCAATGAGGATGACAAGAAGGGACAGATCATCCTGCGCTGTGTGCTCTGGAGCCCACCTTCTGGAGGTGGAACTGAGCTTCCAACATCAAGCTGCAGAGTTCAGACACTGTCATGAGAGTAATGGATGAGGATGAGCGGCTTGCTCAGTACTGTGTTTCAGAAAGACCACTGGTGGCTAGTGCAGGGAGACAGACTGGGGCCTGGGGCTACTGTCCATGTATCTGGTGGAAATTCCAAGTCCAGTCCTCTAGGAGGCACAGCAGGGACCCCGTCCTGAGAGTTTCCAGCTGGAGCCTTGACAAGACAAATGGCCCTTCCGAAACAAGACACTTTGTGCAAAAACACTACATTCTCCTGCAGAGAGAAAACAGACTGACCCCAGCTCCCCTCAGGTGGAATGTTTCCTCTTTCTTGGGCCTGACTTGGGTGAGAATAAGAAAGCCAGGAAACAGCTCAGGAGAGGGCAGCTCCATAGGAGAACAGGAGGCAGTTTCTCACTGGGCAAGTAGGGGTTCCGAGGTCCTGTTTTCCAGGGCAATCTGTCTCTTTGCTGCTTCCTCCATCATTTCCTTGTACTGCCGCCCGAAGAAGTCAAGCTGTGTGGGAAGAAAGAGAAGACAATCGGGAAGTTCGCCCAGCAGAAAAGAGGAAAAAAGCTGACTGGGAGAGAGGGAGAGATCACCATTTCAGGGCCCCCTACTGTGTTCAAAGCATGCATAGGAACTTTATACACATTATGTCATTTAGACTTAGCCGGAATCCTGTGAGCTGGGCAGAATCACCTCCACACTGAGAGAGCAAGACCCAGAGCGGAACAGGCGCTTGCCTATGGCCAAAGAAAGAGAGAGTCTGTGCTGGTATCAGATCCAAAGCCAGGTCCGTGCTTTATATTACAATCTGTTGCCAAGGGAAACGTAGAAAGGTGGAGAGAGCGGAAAGCAAGGGAGAGAGGTTAGAGGAGGCCTGAGAATCACACGGGAAGGCACAATCGAGGGACAGCTCAGGACTGGCAACATCGCAGTGGGAAGGGGTTTCCTCTTGCTGCGACCTGGCAAGAATGTGCATCTAAAGTCGGAGTGAGCTCTTCCTTCCACTGCAGAAAGAGCGGCTCAAAGGCTGGCGTCAAGCGTGGGATCAAACACTCGCCTTGTACAGCACGGCTGTGACGAGAGCCAGAAGCAGCAGGCCCCCTACACAGCTGACCTCGTGAGCGGGACGGGGTTGCGGACCTCACACTCCTCCTGCACCGTCTTCGTCTAGAGTAGAGGTGACCCTGTCACAAAGTGTCAGGCCTCTTGCTGTCACAGACTCCTCCCAGAGTTCCTGAACCTTTAACCCTTCCCCAGGCTCTGCTCCCAGGGCTGAAATGCAGAAGCACTTATGTGCTTAGGGACAACTGTCCTGCCCCACGAGTGGCGTCTCCGCGCATGCGCACAGTGCGGCCGGCGCGCCACGTGCTTTCCCGAGTCACTGCTGTGCCAGGTGCGCGAGGCAGCACCTCCTCCCTCCTCCCTCCAGGCTTGCAGGCCCCCCACCCAGCATTGCAGATTTAGCACCAGAAGCCCCCTTACCAGCCTGGCCACTGCCTACCACACAGTCACTACCTGGGCTCTCACAAACGCCTCCTGTCCTGGAAGCTGGGAATACACGGACCTGTTGAACGTGATTTCGGCCACACTCATGACCAACACCTTCTTCTCCAACGTCTTCAAAAGAAAGGGGCGGGGGGAAACCTGTGGAATTGGCTCTGGGGGATGCTCAGAGTTCCAGGAATGCCCTGGCTTGAGGTCGGGCACAGACACATCAGGTACCACGTGAGTCTCGGGCAGGGGCTGTGCCCTTGGGCCTACACACCTGGCTGACCCAGCCGAAGCTGAGGTTGCCCTTCAGGATGAAGTCAAGTTCCTCCTGGATGCCGAAGGAGGGGATGTCACAGCGGAACCTCAGGCAGTCAGCAATGGAGCAGTCCTAGGGACAGAGAAGTAGCACTGGGCTGAGACAGATGAGTTTGAAGGTAGAAGACAGCATTAACAATGTGACTTAAGGGAAGCAGCCACATCTGAATACAAGAGGGGTGTTCAGCAGGATGGACATGGAACGTGGATTCCCAGATTAAGTTCCTCTGTTGTGTGGCTTAATGTAGGGGACAGCCCAGAGCCCTCCTCACCAGCACAGGATTCTTCTGAAAGTGAGTCCGGAAGTCAGACTCTGTGGGCACTGTTCTCTCCGAAGAGCACTGGATGGACAGGTTCTAGGAGAAGACACAGAGATAACATCAGGGGTTCACAAGGCACACAGGACCCAGGCAAAGGGCACTCATAGAGGAGCCATGCATAGTCCTTGAGCACCTGCGGGTGGGAGACCTCCACCTCTGTCCACACGGTCATGTGGTGCAGTTCCACGGGCACCCAGAAGTTGATGCTGACAGGCAGGTCCCTCTGTCCCAAGTTGTTCACCTGCACAGAGGCCAGTGAGGGCGGGGCCCACAGCAAAGACCTCGTCCCTCCCCCATCCCAGCCGAAGCTCCTGGGCCTCCACCACTTGCCTGGTACCCGTGCCTGGCCACGCTGCTTTCCCCCTCCTCTGAGTCCGAGAAGTCGAGGTTATCTGGTGGATTGCTCGTGGCTGGAGAGAGGAGAGGCATGGGTGGACTTGAACTTTACAGGGGCCTCCTGAGGAGGCTCTGGCTGGAGCGTGAGGGCACAGATGGTCAGTGGGGCCTTGGGGTGACCTAAAATGAGGTCTGTGGCTGAGCTGGGTTAAAGGAGGGTTTAGGGAGTAGGGTTGGGCTTCAAGATGGGACAGGGGCCTTGGGGTGACCTGAAATGAGGTCAGTGGCTGAGGTGGGTTAAAGGAGGGTTTAGGGAGTAGGGTTGGGCTTCAGGATGGGTGTAAGGTGCTTGCAGAAGCTGCCTGCAGAAAAAATTGCCAGGGGGCTGTGTAGGGGTGCAGTGAATGGAGCTGAGGGCTCTGCCACTGACCCTCAGGGGAGCAGAACCATGGCCAGCCCCTCTCTGCACTCTGCTTTCCTTTCAGTCCTTCGTGGGTAGGTAGGATGCTGGGGGCACATGGGACACAGCACAGACTTGGAGAGACTCAGGCTGATCCTGTTGGCCAACTGCTACTCAGCACCACCCCATTCTGGTCCCCCACAAGCCTCCCGGGGGGCCCTTCTCTCCTGTTTCCTTGGCTTTTCTGGGCCTGGGGCTTGGAGATGAGAGAGGGCCCAACAGCAGACTCTTCACTGGGTCTCAGTTTAACAATACCTCCTGAGGTGTACTTGGGCCCAAGGGTGGGGACACAGTGGCCAGCAGGGACACTCACATGGGTGGCTGGTCTCACCTCCACCCCTCACTGCTCCAGTCATCATGTACCTATCCTTTTGCCTGCCTAGTCCAAATTCCAGCTCACCACTCCTATTCTAAAGTCTCGTTCCTCCTCTGCCAAAAGATGCCCTAGAAATGCCCCAGCCTGGCCCTGGGGGCCCCTCCAAGTTCCCCCCACCCCACAGAGTCACATCTGCAGAGTGTGGCTGAGCTGTAGGGCCACACATGCCTGGAGGGGGTGTGCCCTGCTTGTGGGTCCCCTGCAGGGAGCTGTGAGAACCCCCGCATTGTACACTCCAGCAAGCAAGTTCAGAGCGTGCACCTGGCTGGAAACCTCCAACATGCAGGTGCAAGTGAGAATGTGAAACTCTAGGCAGGAAAACAACATCTAACAAGGCATATCTCACAAGAATGGGGGTTTATGTCTGTTTTGATTACACATAATAGGGGCTCAATAAATCTTTGTTGAATAGGCAGTGAATTTATGGAAAGTAACCACCGCACTCACTGTGCCTGACCCAGCAAATGCTAGGAAGGCATTGTTGAAGGGGGGGTTCTGCTGAAACACTTGGCTTAGTTTCAAACCCTTCATCTAACCCTTCTTGGGCAGCATTTTAAGGCTCTATCTTTTTATCCAGTTTCTCTTTGACACCCAACCTCTGCAGCTGGCAGGTCATCTGTCCCTATCCTTCCCCGAGGGTACTGGGAAAGGCGGGAGTGGGGTAGTTCCTTCCAAAGAAGAATTTTCCTGTCCGAATGCCAAGGGCTCCTTTGAGATCGCTGTTGGCCAAGCCCGATGCTGTGGACCTTTCAGGAGGAGGTTTCCTCTTGGAAACCCACCTCGTCCCAGGGCATAGCACCACGCTGGCCCTTGGTGAGAGTCTGGCTTGGATCACAGGAACTTTGCTCCTCAGTGAGGGTACAAGAACATGGAAGATAGGAACATGTCTCACATCTCCTAGGGAACACAAGAGAATCTTGGCATTTTTGAAAAAGTCTCCTGAGACGTGTAACTTCTACTAAAAGTAGGATATAACGAAAGTAATATCGCAATTATTATCATCATAACTAACCCACAATAAACACTTGTTGACTAATAAGTGCTGTTAGCAGTATCATCTACCACTTGAAAGGATGATGATAAAACCTAAAACACCCCAGATGCTGCTGCAGGGGTGAGACCCACCCCCCGGGATGATGGAGAAGAATCCTTTTGAAGTCTCAGCGGGGCACCTGCTGATCACTGCGCGGATGACATACTTCACCGAGCGCCAGCTGGGAGTTGGTCATGCTGGTTGTGGGGGTGTTATTCTCACTGGAGAAAGGAGCAAGGCCCAGTTGCCAAGTGCCCCAGAGGAGGAGGATGGGGTACGAGGCTGGGGGTGAGGGCACTGCCTGGGCCTGCCCAGCTCACCTGCTCACACTGGCTGTCAGCAGCAGCCGGTCTCCCAGCACAACCTTGTGGGAGACGTCAAACGTAGCCAGGAAGGTGATCTGAGGGGGAGGCAGGAACAGGGGGCATCCCGGGGGAGTAAGACAGGGCGGGGGTGGGGGTGGGGGAAGCCAGGCTGACCTGGGAGCCTCCACGGAAGATGAAGTGGTTGAGGCTGCAGCTGGTGCCCTGGCCCCCAGCTGGGGAGCTGTCACATGTCAGGTGCAGCTGTTTTTAGGCAAAGGCAGGTGAAAAAAGGCAAATGAGTATTTGTTAGTGTTCCAAAGAGACTCCATGAAGTAGTGACAAAGTTTCCTGGAATCTACCTTAAAGTCATGTTTTAAAAAGCTCCTCAGATGCTATCTGGTCAAAATTCTTCCCAGTGTAGAAATCTCGAATTTATTAAAATTTTCACCTTTTTATTTATTGTTATTTTGGAGACCTTTTATTATAGAAATTTTCAAACATACTCAAAAGTAGAAAGTCTAGAAGATCAACCCCCATGTATCCATCACTCAGTTTGTTACCAACATTTTTCTACTTTTGTTTCATTTGGCTGTTCACTTTTCTTCTAAATAATTTAAGGCACATTCCAGACATCATATTGGTTCATCCAGAATGCTTCAATATGTACCACCAACAAATAAGGGCATTTTTTTATCATAACCACAAGACCCAACAAATCCTACCCAACAAAATTAGCAATAACTTTTTAATATACTGGTCATGCTCAGTTTTCTTAGACTGTCTCCAAAAATGTTATTTTATGGCTCATTTTTTAAAATCCATATCCAGCAAAGATCTACACATTGCATTTAACGGATATGTCCAGGAGCACTCTCAATGACAGGACGATCACCCCTCACACACTAGAGCGTGCTTTTCTAGTGTGTTCTTTCATGCATTAGTCAAAACAGGCTCCCATTGGAATATTAGACTAAGAGAGACATAGCAGATAAAACCACAGAACATAATTTGTGGACCTACTTTGGATTTTGGTTCAAATAAACCAGAAGTCAAAAGATATTTTTGAGACAATATGGGAAATTCAACTATGGTCTAAATACCAAGAAATCATTCATTTTTGGGGCTGTGATAATGGCATTAGGATCATTTAAGATATCCCCACTGTTCAGAACTATAGAGTGTGTCTTAGTCCGTTCTTGGCTGCTATAGCAGATTGCCACAGACGAGGTGATTTATGAACAATAGAACCTTCACAGCTCTGAAGGCTGGGAAGTCGCAGAGCAGGGGGCCAGCGTGCAGCGAGGGCCTTCATGCTGCACCATCACATGGTGGAAGGCAAAAGATCAAGAAAACATGCTCAAGAATGCGCGGGCAAGGGGGCCGAACTCCTGCTTTAATCAGGAACCCACCCCCACGATAATGGCACTGGTCCATTCATGAGGGCAGAGCCCCTAGAACCTGATCAGCTCTTAAAGGTCCCCCCTCTCAACACTGTTGCGCTGGGGATTAAGTTTCCAGCACGTGAGCTTTGGGGGACACATTCAAACCATAGTAGAGGGAAACACGGAGGGGTGGAATGACCTCGTGTCTGGGATTTGTTTTAAAATATTTCAGCAAAGGGAAAAAACAAAGACGAAACAAATGTGGCAAAACGTTGATAATTGTTGAATCTTGGGGATAAGTTTTTTGGAGGTTTGTTGAACTGCTCTCTACTTCTGTAAAGGTTTAAAATTTTTCGTAACAACATTTTTGTTAAAAGTCTGTTTCTCTTTGATTCCTTGTGGTCCTAATTCTGTCTTCTAGAACAGGGGTTGGCAAACTACAGCCCGCCACCTGTGCTTTTATGAATGAGGTTTCACCGGATCACAGCTACGCTCACGCACACACTCTTCCATGTCACTCAATGGCTGCTTTCGCTCCACAGCAGCAGGGTCAAGTGGCTGTGACAGAAACTGTACGTCCCACAAAGCTGAAATACTTACTATGTAGAGAGTTACGGAAAAGGTTTTCCAAGCCTTGATTTAGAGTAACCAATAAATTCAACCCTGTTCTTATACAGAACAGTGTATTAAAATGTTTGAAGACTGAGATGTATTTTCATTTAAAAGAGGAATATTGACATGATATGAAATACAAAGAAATTTAAGGCAAGGTCTCCTCTCTTCCCACATTAGTGACTTTCCAGTGTCCTTAAAATGTGATGTCCAGCCGGGCGCGGTGGCTCACGCCTGTAATTCTAGCACTCTGGGAGGCCGAGGCGGGTGGATCGTTTGAGCTCAGAAGTTCAAGACCGGCCTGAGCAAGAGCAAGATCCCGTCTCTACCAAAAATAGAAAGAAATTAATTGGACAACTAAAAATATGTAGAAAAAATTAGCCGGGCATGGTGGCACATGCCTGTAGTCCCAGCTACTTGGGAGGCTGAGGCAGGAGGATCGCTTGAGCCCAGGAGTTTCAGGTTGCTGTGAGCTAGGCTGATGCCATTGGCACTCTAGCCCGGGCAACAGAGTGAGACTCTGTCTCAAAAAAAAAAAAAAATGTGATGTCCAAAGTGGAACACCGCAGGAGCCAAGGCGAGCCCCAGACGGCACAACCACGTCCATCCAAGGCCAGCCCAGACCCCTTGGCATACGAGAGGCTGCTAAGCAATGACAGCTCAGCCCCAGCTTTGAATCTGCACAGTCTAGACTGATTCCCAGGGCACCCACCTCTTCCTGTCCCAGAAGGAATACCTGGCCCCCTGCCACACGGCGGTAGGACAGCCCAGGAGGGTAGGCAAAGGTGACTGTGGTTCCATAGGAGTCCTCGCCGGCATTCCACACAGTCACCTCTGCATTCAGCTCCGGGTTACTCCCCACCACCAGGGTCTCCAACTGGGTGTTGGGGGAGGGGGAGGAAATGGTTCTGCGACTGAGGCTAGAAATGGTCTGGGGATAAAATGGAGTGGGGATGTGGGAGATAGGGGACAGGACACCTGAATTCTGAGGACAGGGTGGGAGTGTTAGGGAGAGCCAGGAGTTAAGCAGAGTCCCAGTTCCAGGAGGGAGGCTGGGGCACCAGGGCAGGTCGAAAGGGGGTGCAGGCTCACCCTGGGAAGCCAAAGGAGATGCCAAGGTCATCCTGGCAGATGTGGTCGGCTCCACAGTTCTTCTCAAAGGGGAGCTGAGAGGGAGGGCAACACGGGGTTTTCAAGATCCAGAGCCCAGGCTGTCCACCCCTCCGGGAGACTCTCACACCAGGACTCAGAGAGACCGTGAAGTATCTTAGAGCACCTACAGCCAGTGTAGGCTCGAGGTTTCCAAAGGAAGGGATGGGCTTGCCCATCAAGCTACAAATGGTCCTACGTTCTCTGCCAGCCCTGGAACCTACCTCCTCCTCACACCTACAACTACAACAATCTACCAAGAATATATACTGAAGTCCCCTGGAGAGACCCCTGGAGAACCTACAAGGGGCCACCCTCATCGCCCCTCCTCAGCACGAAGCAGCCAGATGAGTTGACGCCCCTACCCAGTGGTTTGGGCCTCTAGAATAGAGAATGGGGAATGTCAGGTAGATAGCAAGGGATTCCAGGTCTCCTAGTGATGAAAGTGGGTGCTGTGGCCCCCATCTTGGTCCTGCCCCACCCTAATCTCCCGAGTGGCTGCCATACCTGGGGAGGAGGGAATACTCTATGAATCTGCCAATCAGAACTCAGTGGGCCAGCTGCAAAAGAATGCAGGGGACTCTCTAGCCCACAGGCCAAGCAGCATAGATACCATAGAGTCCGGAAATTGAACTAGAACAACCTACATGTGCAGTAAGACTCAGGTCATGTGACTCCCAACTGTCCAATCAAAGTGGTTCCATGGTGACCTCTGAACCACAAGGGAGGTCCCAATCCAGGCACTACAAAACAAGATGCAGACCATAACCAGCCCCTTTTTTGTGCCCTTCCTTTTGCTCTCCCTTTGCTGCAACAATGGGTCTGGTCGTTGTCTGTGGCATATGTCCCATACTCTGTAAACCTATATCTTGCTCTTGACCTGTAATCCTATCTTTCTCTCCTCAATAAACCTTATTTTCATGTTTGCCTAAAAAAAAAGTTTGACTTGTTCTCCGGACTTTAGAAATCTCTGGATTGCCAAGAAAATTGACCTCTCTTCCAGCACCTCTTGAACTCCCCCAAAACTGGTTCTTCAATATCCTCTCCTCCACAAAGTCCAGATCCCAAACCCTATGTACCACCCTCCTCCTCATGTCTGCGTCTCTCCCTACCCACACCCTGGTCCCCTAGCCAGATCCCCCAGTTCAGGGCCCTGGCTCACTTGGACCTGGGTGCCCTAGTACCTCTTCTTCAGGGCCCAGTCTCACCCATCAGGAGGAGGGGGACTGTCCCGCTCCTGATCATGACTAGAAGGTCAGACATGCAGCTCTGAGCTCCTGGGATACCTCTGGACCAAAGTACCGAGGAAGCAGTGAGCGAGTGGTCAGGAAGCAGAGGTAGGGAGGGAGTTGTCAGCGTGACTCAGAGGCAGAGGGCAGGGAACACGACTAACAGGAGCAGAGAGGGGCCTAGGTACCCACACATTCCCGTCCAAGAGTCTTTCTAATCAGGTGACTCATCTTGATTGTCCTTCCTCGCCCAGTCTTTGCCTGGCCTGCCCCACCCCTCCCAAGATCTCTCTTTTACTGGCAGAAGGCTCCCCTGGACCTTGAAATTTCAGCCAGACTGGGGAAGGGAGGGGGCAGACGCCAGCCCCTCAGACCCTAACGGAAACCCTGGTGAGAACCCTCCTCTTCTACCTAAAACCCCTGGGCCAAGGAGTCAGACATCTGGCCCCTAGGAGGGGCACAGAGTGGGTATTCATTCATTCTCCTGCTCATTTATTTACCATTTATTCAAGATACCTAGTTTGAGGCTGATGCTGCAAGCCATCTGCTAGGTAAGGGAGAAGCATAAACTGCAAGGCCCCAGCCCTGGGATCAGTGGAGAAGGCCAATGAGTAAACAGCAAGGTGGTTGCTATGAGACAGGAAGCCTGGAGAGCACAGTGTGCTTTACCGAGGCTGGGAAGCTGTGGGTTTCCGGGAAGGCTTCCTGGAGGAGGTGGCACTTGGCAATTGAAGTCGGGAGACTCCAGGAGAATGTGTTTCAGAAGGGGCAGCCAGATGTGGCGAGGCATGGACAGGAGAGCCTTTGTGAACTCAGTGGCCATCACCAGAGAGTAGGGGTGGGAAGTGGCAGGAGATGCGTCCAGGGCCCTTGGGAGAAGAGGACGGGGAAGCAGGCCCCAGGCCCGAATCCCCCTCAAGTCACGTTGATTATATCAGGAGGGCAGAGGGAAGCACTGAAGGGAGTTAGTGGGGACTGAGATCTTCAAATTGACATTTTAGAAGCTAAAAGCCAGGGCTGTGTGGCGCATGGTTTCCTTGGGAACGAGCTAGAGACAGTTCAGTTGGGAGATGGATGCTGGGTCCTGGGGGGGGCTAGTGGCTAGTGGGCTAGTGGCCATGGGAGGGGCTGGAGCTGACTGGTCCCCAGGGGAGGACGGTGGTGATGGTACCTGAGCCATAGAGCACTGGAGGACGAAGTGGGTAGAGGTTTGGGCCAACTTCAGTTTTGAGAAAACCAGAACGTCATGTTTAAGAGTTTGTACTATTTCAACCTCTGTAAGTTTCCTCGCCTGCAAAATGACAGCGATGATGAAAGCACACACCTCCCGTCGTTGCTGGGAAAGTTGAGATAATGTGACATGCTTAGAAGAGTGTGTGAGAGTTTTATACCTGGGCGTGATCACTATTGTACTATGATGATTTTTGTTGAAGGAGGGGCCTTCAGAGCCCCCAAGAGGAGGCAGCTGGGTGTGTGGCCCTGGACTTCAGGGAAATCTGGGTTGCAGATGTGCTTTGGACCCGTCAGCAGAAGTGCTGGGTGACAGCCCGGTGAGAGGGTGAAGAGGGAGGAGAAGGTGGGCCTGGGCGGTCCCCAGGGAAACACCAACACTGACAGCAAAGCAGGAGGCCACGCCGACGGAGAAGGAAGAAGGACATGCAGGAGAGATGCGTAGGCTGGACAAAAGGGGCACAGGCCATGTCGCAGGCTGCCAGATCTCAAGTGAGGCAAGAGATGAGGAAGTCCCCGGCTCCGGCAGCAGAGGCATTAGTGACGCCGGAGTGGGCCACGCCGGGCTAGTGGGGGAGGCCAGGCTGGCGTGGGAGGAGGAGGGGCCGGATGCGGAGCATGGGCAGCAATGTCACCAGGAGTGAGCAGACATGAAGAGACTTCAGACATAGTGTAGCTGGGAAAGGACCTGGAAAACAGGGAGGTGAAGAAAGATTCAGAGAGAGAGAGGGAGAGAGAGAGAGAGAGAGAGAGAGGGTGGGAGGGGGGTTGAATTCGAAGAAGGAAATGGTGACAGAAGAACCCAAAAAGAGGAAGGAAAGGAAAAGTGGTCCAGACCTGGAGTGGCTAAAAGAGGAACCAGCGGTGACTCCAGCCAGAAAAAGGCTGGGAGACTTGGGGCTGGTCTCATGCAGGCGAGCGCCAGGATGAGCTGCCACGGATCCAGCAGGCCATGAAACCTGGCCTTCCCGTCGCTCCGCTTCTCGGGGTCGGGCTCCACCTTTGGTGGGTGAGGGAAGAGACAAGGACGCTGACCAAATAAGACCCATGTCTTCTCTCCAGCTGCCTGACATACTTCCATGACATTTCAGGCTCAGTCAAGGTGAATTCTAATTGGACAAAAGCCCAGGTAAGGTAGCTCGCTTGTGGCAAGGATAACTCAGGATCATAGAAGAGTTGATTCAACCCGCCCACTTTACAATTCAGCAGTGAGGCTCCAGCCAGGACCTTAGGGTGTCTAAAACTCATAGCCCCATTTCAGTGAATCATAAAACATGACATTTCCAGAAAAAGGGTGGCAGTTGGGGGTGACATAAGCAAGGAGGGGAAGATGCCCAAGTTGACCCCTCCTGAGCCCCATGGGACCATGAGTCAGCAGAACCCCCTGGGGCTGCATCTGTGGCAAGAGGAAGGTTGAGGCCAGAGGGGGGTCTGGGGGAGTTTGGAAAGCAGACAGCCTTCCCTACCGCTGACATTCCTGACTCAGTAAGTTTCTGCTCCGTCCCTGAGATGCTGATTACGGAAGCTTCTAGCAGGTCAGCAGGTGGAGAGGTTTCATGTGATCTGACACAAACAGGGGGTGAGAGGTGTGTGGAGAAACCAGATCACACGTTGCTGCTTTAAATTAGGTCTGATTTGCCTGAGCCAAGTGGAAATGAATAATTGTGAGTCTGTCCCCTGGATCCTGCGTTTCCTGTGGGAAGAAGAGAACAGAAACCTGGTAGGCAGAAGCCCTCAGATTTCTCAGTCCGCCCCCACCCCACGCTCACGCGCGGGGCCTGAGTGGAGTCACCATAAAGTTCCTGCCCTTCCTCTGCTGCATCAACCTGTCTCCCTTCGCTGTCTTTGGAGACAGCCCCTACTGTACCCCCAGGTTTTCTTAAAATGGAATTTATTTTAATTCTATATTGTAGAAAGCACACATACATAGGTACTCAGGAAGAGACTGTCCTCTGAAAGCACCTGGCTCTCCCTGCACGCCTGAATCGCTGGTGCGATGAAAGATTTTAAAATGTCAACAACTAATTGAAACCAAACAAACAAGGGCACGGGGGCCAAATAAAACCTGAGGTCTGGATCTGGCCCGAAAGCTGCCATTCAAAATCTCTTTTCTAAACTGGAAGTGGTTAAGAGCTAAGAATTTCCTAAAACAAAGCCTGTGTGTTTTCCCCTGGAAAAGGCACATCCACACCTCAGGACACCCACCTCTGGGAATCTCTCGAGAGAGGGGCGGGGGAAGACCGTCTGGCACCTTTCCCATGTGTCTAATTTCTCTATCAGGTCATTCCGCCACCAGGTAGGAAGGGATAAAGGGGTAGGACCCACCCCATGGGGTTCTCAGGGTAGAGGATAAATCCTTGGAGACCAAACCAAGTGAGCTTGTCAGGAGGGTCGTACACATGGAGAAAACATAACTGCAGCCTGTGCCCCCCACCAGGATGGGGAGAGGGGACACTCCCAGACTCCCTATTTTGAATGGCTCTATCATGAGTGTTGATGAGAGAGGGGATTGAAATGCTAGTTGGGGTAGCAGCATCATCAAGAACAAGTTCAGTTTCTTGAACAAGTCGGAAAGCAGAATCTCTGGGAAGGCAGTGATGTTAGTTACAATACAGAGTCAACTGTTGCATCGAAGGCTCAGAATAACAATGTCTTCAGCACAAGCAATGTTCATTTCTCTCTCCTGTAATAGCGTCAGAACATGGAGCCCAAGGCTAGCACAGTGGTTCTGCAGAGTCAGAACTCAGGCTCCTCTGTCACTCCAGCATTTGTGGGTGTTGCCCTCGTCTGCAACATCCGAAATGGTGCGCCACGACGTTCACACTCCAGCCAGTGGAAAGATGTTAAAGAGAAAGAGATGACACCATCTCTCAAAGGACCTGACTCCAAAGTTGTTCCCTTCACTTCTGCTCACACCCCTTTAGCCAGAACCTAGCCACATGGCCACCCCAGCTGCAAAGTAGGCTGGGAAATGTGCTCTTTAACTGAGTGGCTATATGAGTTGCCCATTGCAACATGACACACCACTCCAAAACACAGAGTATTGCAACATCAGCAATTTATTATTAATATTTCTCACAGTTGTGTGAGGTGACAATCTGGGCAGTTCTGTTGGACTCACCTGTGGTTACAGTCGTCAGATGGCTGGACTAGGCTGGACGGTCCATGGTGGCCTCATACATGCATCTGGCAGTTACAATGGCTGTGGGCTGGGGCCTCAGCTGTCTCCTCCATGTGGCCACGCATTCTCCAGGCTAGATGCACCACAGCATGATAGCCTCAGGGTTCCAACAGGGGGAGGGCACAAGCTAGCAGACTTCTTAAGGTCTAGGCTCCAGAACTCATGCAACATTTCTAGCACATTCTGTTGGTCAGATCTAGCAACAAGACCAGCCCAGATTCAAGGAGGGAGAGAAATAGGCTCCACCTGTTTCCTGATAGTTGGAGCAACAATGTCACATTGCAAAGGAGTGGGGCTGAGAAGGCACAATTCACTGGGTTCATAATTACAACCATCTACCATGGTGGCCCAGGTAGGAATTCTACTACCAAGTAGAAGAAGGAGGATATATACTGAAGAGATTTATTTATTCTGAAGCGAGAGATCTCCAAAAATAAGAACAAATGCAGGCTTTCTGTGTTTGGCTTCTTGTCACCAGAGATTTATGGCCCTGTTTATTAGTAAATTCTACAGAGTCAGAACCGAGGCTCCTCTGTCCACACTGGCATTCGTGGGTATTGCCAGGGTAATTTGTCACTTGAAATGATGTACTTTTCTAACTCATCATAAAGCTCCTATCTGGCTGAATTCAACCTAAGCTTCTGATTCAAAGATGCCAATGTGGACTCTGAGCCTGCAGGATCTTAACTGCCCACGTGAGGACAGGTGGCTGCAGGTACAGAGGCTCTCTGCCTTCCTGGATCAATTAAGGGTTTCTGGAGATATTTAGGACTTTTATCTTTCACCTTAAGGAAAAATAAAAATTCTTAACAGATATTACTTTTAAGTCAAAAGGGGAAATTGTGTAGAACCGCCTGAAGGTGACCATGCGATATGGCACCCCCAAGGATAAAAAGGGCCATGGTCTCACTAGTCACCTTTTCATGATATCTTACTGCACTTTGAATGAAATTGGAACTCCTCACTCTGCCTTACAAAGCACATGCACCCCAGCTCTTGGTCACTGTTCCAGCCTCACCTGTGTTCCCTTCTGCCTGGAAACCTGCCCCTACCTGAGTCAGGTATCACCTCCCTTGGGGGCCCTTCCTTCACCTCCCTAAGAAGGTGTAAGCCCTCTCCCCTCTGGTCGCATTTTGAACAGGTGTCCACCTAAGCCATGATTTTCTTGTATTTGAATGAACATCCATAAATTGTCATTTTTGTCAAAAAAAAGTTAGCAATTTCATACGGTTCAACTCAATATAACAGCTAAATAACAGCCACCCTCTGACTACACTCCATCATGCCTGCTGCAGGGCCCTTCCTCCGAAGCTGTAAGGACAGTAAAAGAGAAAAGCTCTAGAGCTAGACAGAGCTGGGGTTAAATCCCAGTTCCATTTCCTTCTTATCCAATGATCTCAGGCGACTGGTATGATCTACCTAAGCCTCAGTTTCCTCATAAGTGAAATTCAGATAATAATAAATAACAAGTGGCAGCCACTTAGCACGATTGCCGTGGAATTAGAGAGCTTACATGTTAAGGCCAGGGTAGTGGTTACAGTGTTTTCACAGTATGGGACATGGGCACCGGGGGTCGTCCCCCTGTGGAGGGAGGGCCACCTGAAAACAGCTGTCGAAACTGTACCTGCACACACCCTTGGCAGCAAGTGCTTTATCCCCATCGGCCTTGACAGGTCTGTGCTCACCTGTCAGACTTCCAACCTGTATCTCTTTCTCCAGCCACCTGAGCCTGCTCTGCCCACATTCAGGGCAGGCCAGACGGGCCAGGGGATTAGCACCCTCTCCCCACCAAGAGCAGTCTTCAGCCAATAACTCCGTGGAATTTTCGTATACATACTCCCGCTCCCTCCCCCCTGGGGTGGGATAACACTAAGGTGTGTGTTCTATACCTTCTCCCAGAGCTGCCCAGTGGGATTAAGCCTCAGGGCCTCGTAGCAGAGCCTCTGTGGATAACACACCCAGCGTTGGCTGCCTCCCCTTCCTCAGCCCACTCCCCCACCTCTCAGTATTTCCTGGGGCCATGTCTTAAATAAACTTCTTTCACTCAAATTTTGGGGTTTGCCTCTGGGGGAACCCAAACTTCTAAAAATATATCCCACAAATCAACCTTACACATATACAAAAAATGACATATAGTCAATTTATTAATTCAGCATTGTTTATAATAGTGAGAGGTTGGAAATAATATATCAAAAAAAGACGGGTCAAATACATCGTGATACACCCACACAATGGAAGACTACACAACTGTATAAAAGAATGGAAAAGTAATTTATGCCTGGATGTGAAACAGTGTCTGAGCTATATTAATGGAAAAAGCAAGATACAGAATAGTATAAAGTATGCTACCATTTGTGTAAACAACTTGTGTGTGTCTGTGTGTTTTACACATGCATAGAATCTTCCGGAAGGAGACCCAGAAACACATAACCTTGACTGCCCCTGAAGAGGGGACTTGAACATCAGGGAAGGGAGACTTTTCACCATACACCTTTGAATATCTTTTAACTTTTGCATCACGGACAGGTTTACCAATGCAAAAAATAAAAGTAGCATTAAAACAATAAATACATAAAGGGAGATTTATCATTCCTCATTGGACATCCTGGGCCCCACCAACTCTAGTGTGGGGTGGGTTTGCACAGGCTGCTGTGGGCTGACGAGTTCCTGGTTCCACGCACGGCTTCTCCAGAGTCTCAGAGCTTGCTTGCGTGGGCTCCTGCAGGTCTGCCCGCATGCCCACGAAGGGCGGTCTCACTTCCTCCAGCAGGGAGAGGTTCTCTTGCATTTCCCTTTATGTTCGCCCACAAAAGCTGCCATTACCTCTCCCAGAGGAAGGCCCAACAGCATCTTCACCCACACACAAGAAAGCAAAGCGATTCCCCTCTGCCTGAGAGGCCGTGTCAAAAACACTTGCACACACCCAAGAGACATCTGAGTCACACACACAACTTACACACACTCACGCACACACTTGCACACACACACAAAGGAAACCCAAGCAGGTCTTTTCTGAGTGAGACCTCGCCACCCGTCTCCTAACAGACATGTCTGTCCAGCAGCCTGGGGACCCGCACATTGGTCTAACCATAGTCCTGCTTGCTGCAGGAGAGGGCCATGCCGTGGGGAAGGAGCTATTGCTGGGGTGGGGCCTCTTGGGGACCAGCTTCGTTCATCATGTCCTTGTACTGCCGTTTGAAGAAGCCGAGCTGTTGGGACAGAGACAGAGCAGTAAGGGCCACAGAAGCCCAGGGAGCAGGTGAGGGTCCTGCAGACCAGGAGTGGGGACAGAAGGACCAAAGGGCAAAGGATAAGGTGGCATAGTGTAGAAGAGACCAGGGGAAAGTGGGGCAGGGAGGGAAATAGCATCAGTGTTGGGGCCCAGAAAGAAACATAAAATATAACAAGAAAAAGAAGAAGCACTCCTTATATAGTGGTCATTCTGTGGCAGGGGCCGTTCGAAGTGCTCCAGCCAATCACTCACAGAATGGGTATTGATAATTCTCAGGTTACTGTTGAAGAAACTGGGGCATAGAGAGGCTCTGTGACTTGCCCAAGGTCACACAGCACTCCTGGGAGTTGAGCCCGGGAATGGAGCTGCTGAGTGAGAAGCAAGAGAGGAGGAGGGGAGTGGGCAGGAGGAAGCTGGCAGGGCAGTACCTTATACAGTCCGGCCGTGATGAGGGCCAAGAGCACCAGCCCCCCGACAGAGCTGCCCACAATGAGCGGCACAGGGTTGTGAACTTCATATGGCTCCACTTTGGTCTCTGTCTGGGAAGGAAGAGGAGAAAACGGGTGCATCAGGGGAGGCAGACTCCAGCTTTCTGGGGGGTTCCCCAATCAGACAAACCTTGTGCACTCCCTGAACCTCCTGACTAACCCTCCCTACGCCCCCAATGCCCCAGGCCTCACTCCTCTTCCTCCCCCACCCCCTTCTCTCTTTCTCTGTCTCTCTCTCACTCTGTCTCTCCCCACTCCCCCCAAGATCTCCACAAACCCAACCCCCAACGGTCCCTCTGTGCCCAAGGCAGATACCTGGGCCCTCACGAACGCGCTCTGTCCTGGAAGCAGGGCAAACATCGACTTGTTAAACAAGATCTCAGCTGCGCTCGCGACCAGGAGGTGGTTGTGCGAAGTCTGGAGAGAAAGCCAAGGGGGAGCTGCAGCTGCGGGCTCTGAAGTGCCACGTCTGTGCCCAGCGAAGCCACAGGACCCCACATACCTTGATATACCAGTCAAACGAGAGGTTGGTTGTGAGGGTGACATCTAATTCTTCCTCGATGCTGAAGAATGGGATGTCGCACTGGATTCTCTGGCAGACAGCAACGGAGCAGTTCTGGAGAAAGGAGACGAGGAGGGAGATGACAAGGAAGCTGGATGCAGAAAACATCGCCGTGTGCTCGGGGAGACCGGACTGGGCTCCAACGAGGGGACGACGCTGGGGCCGCGTGTGGCTCCGAGGCAGGGGCCAGGCTGCTTCTCACCAGCACTGGTGTCTTCTTAAGCTCAGCCAGGAAGTCAGAGTGAGGGGGGAGCCTCTCCTCGGTGTGGCAGGTGTTTGAGAGGTTCTGGGGAAAGAGAGCTGCTGTGAGGAGAGAGAGAAACGAGGGCTCCTGGGTCCATGCCTAGGCAAGGGTGCGTGAGACAGCCTGAACCCGGGAGAGGGTCGGAAGCGGCTCCAAGATCCAGCAAAGGAAACAGACAGAGATTTTAGGAAAGATCAGGGCTGTGGGGAGGAGTTAGGCCCAGTTCTCAGCCCAGCCGGACTCACCTGGGAGAAGGTGACCTGGGGACTGTCCCACACGGTCCTCTGGTTCAGCCGGATGGGGACCCAGAAGACCACACTGATGGGGAGGGTCCTCCGCCCCAGGTTGCTGAACTACATCAGAGAGGGGTGAGGGTCAGGGTTCTGGCCTTTCGGCCCCCACCAGCTCCTGCCCTCCCCATCCCCCAGCCCAGGACCCCTGAGCAAGGCCTCCTGCCCCTCCCTGGGAGGCAGCTGAGAAACGCATTCCAGAGCCAGGCAGGCTGGTGTTAAGTCCTGGCTCTTCCACTTATTATTCCTCTTAGGGTGAGACTTTGGACATGTTCTGTTCATGTTCGTGTCTCTGAGCCCCAGTTTCTTCATCTGTAGACTGAGGGTAACGATAGTGCCTCTCAGCGTCGTCAAGAAAATAAAGCGAGTTCATTATGCACGTGTGTGAACACGTCCACGTGTGCAGCCTTGTGTGCTTGGGACCGCGCCTGGCACACAGTCGGCACCGTACACCCGTGTCCCATCACTGTTTCTGCACCCCCTTCACACTGATTTTCCTCCCAGCCTCTTTCTCAGGACCTGGATGTCCCCACTCCCCACCTGATATCGATGCTGCATAACCTTACTGGTCTTCTCTGAGGCCGTGAAGTTGAGATATTTGGTGGAGACCTCATGGCTGAAGGGAGAAAGAAGGGACAGGAGATGACAGAACATGAGGGGTGTCCTGGGAGGGGGTCTCGGGCTAAATGTGTAGGGAGTGAACAGGCCCTGAGGGGGTGGGGCGGGATGGTGTGCAGGGGTGGGGGAAGGGGGCAATGTGTGCCCATTTGCCCCCCCAACACACACACACATTCAGTACACGCCCATGCACATATACACACATGCGCACAGATCCTCCCACACACAGGCACACACACACACACAAACACAAGCGCAGACTCACACACACAGATATACAACTGGCCGAGTCCAGCCCAGTGGAGGAGGAGGCTCAGCTAAAGGCCTGGAAGCAGCACCTGATGACCGCCATGGAGACAGCATACTTCACGGGCAGCTCCAGCTGGAATGCGGTTTTGTTGGTCCTGGGCATGTTGTTCTCACTGGAGGGAGAGGGAGAGCTCTAGTGAGCTCTTGAGAACTGGAAATCAGCCTTTCCTCTTCCCTCTCCCTCACCCTTCACCTCCGATCAATCAGCAAGTTCTGTCACCTCTGTGTCCCACATACCACTGTTCTCCAGCCCAGGCCCATCCCTACTCCCCAGCTGTCTGCAGCAGCCTTCTTCCAACTGGTCCCCCAGATTCCAAACTGCTCCCACCCCAATCTCCAGCCCTCCTGGAGAGTGATCTTTCTAACATGCAAATATGATTAGGTCATAAGCGAAACCACGAATTCCCCCACACCACCCATCATTTATTTTGTGACATGACTCATCTGTAACCACCACCAACTCCCTAAATCCTGATTCTGTGCTGAGGCCATTCTTAAATACATTCTGATCTTTCTGGCCTCTGGGCCTTGCCTGGTACATGCTTCCTTTCTTCCGTCTTCACGCTCACCCTCAGTTTATGCCTTGGATTGGTTAACTTACAGTCTAAATATATTTTCTTCAGGAATCTTCTCTGAATGCTAAGCTCCCAAGAATACCAGACATCCCCCATTTAATCTTTCGTTTCATACTGTACTGCAATGGCCAGTTTTCTTGTCTAACTTTGTCACTAAATTATAATCTCAGTGAGGGCAGGAACCACAGTTGGCTTGTCTGTCACTGTCCCACCAGCACTGGGCACAATGCCCAGCACTTGGTGGGTGCTCAGTGGGTGTTTGTTGAATGAACGAATGAGCTGAAGGGAGAAGCAGTGGGAAGAGGGCAAAGGCCACCCCTGGGCAAGGGGCTGGAGCCTCAAAGGGGCGGGTGCTTGTGGAAGGTTGACACAGTGCACCTGGTCACATTGGCCTTGAGGAGCAGCTTGTTTCCAAGGGAAGCTTTAGAGTCCACATCAAACGTTACATCGAAGATGACCTGGAGTTGGAGAAAGGAGAAAGAGTGACATGAATAGAGAGAAGGAACAACCCAAATGTCCATCAACTGATGAATGGATAAGTAAAATGTGGTCCATCCATAAGACAGAATATTTTTCAGCAATAAAAAGAAATGAAATAGTGATGCATGCTGCAACGTAGATCCTTGAAAACATTATGCTAAGTGAAACAAGTCAGTCACAAAAGATCACATCCTGCACAATTCCATTTTTATGAAATATCCAGAATAGGAAATCTAGAGAGACAAAGTACATCCGTGGTTGCCTAGGGTGGGGCGGAGGGGAGGATGGGGGCTGATGTCCAAAGGTGGCAGGGTGTCTTTATGGCATAATAAAGACGTTCTAAAATTGACCGTGATGATGGGTACACAGCCCTGTGAATATACTAAAAGCCACCGATTGCACTCTTTATGTGGGTGAATTTTATGGTGTGTGAATTATATTTCAATAAAGCTGTTTTGTAAAAAGGAACCACTACTAAAAAGAAAGGAAAGAAAAGAAAGGAGGAAAGGAAGGAAGGAAGGAAGAAAAGGAAGGAAGGAAGCAAGCAAGCAAGGAAGGAAGCAAGGAAGGGAGGAAGGAAGGAAAAAAGGAAGGGAAGGAGGGAGGCAGGGAGCGAGGGGAGAAGAATTCCAGAAGATGACAAAGGAGAAAGCAGAGGAGGAGCTGGCAGTGCTGACCTCCGAGTTGTCTGGGAAGATGGGGTTGTTTATGTTGCACCTGGTGCTCTTCACGGCCCCAGGCCCCTCTGTGGAGGAGACAGACTCGCAGGTCAGGCGCCAGGATCGCTTTGAGTGCTGGTTCTGGAAGGCAAGGGAGGTGCAGGTGGTGATGTCAACCACCAGCCCTGGGCATGGAGACAGTGAAGGTCAGATGGAGCCTGAGAAGGATTTGGTTACCTGGGCTTCTGACACCTTCCGGTACGACAAACCAGATGGGTGGACGAAGGTGACCTGAGTCCTGTAGGAGTCCTCGCCCTCGTTTCTCACCGTCACTGTCACACTGAATTCCCGGGGACCACCCACCACCAGGGTGTCCAGGCTGTGGGAAGAACAAGACAGGCCATGAGACACTGAGGGCTTCCCTGTGGCACGTCTGCTCTGGTGGGAAGGAAATGCAGGCACTTGAAGAGACATGACAATAGATGGGGCAGCCACAAGGGACCTGTGACACACAAACACCGCCAAAGGCGCTGCTCTGTGCCAGGCTCCCTTGCACCTTGAACAGAGGACCATGTCGTGGTACAGGTTTGGAGGAGGCAACAAGGAAAAGAAACGCACTTCATAAAACTGAAGGTGATGCTGAGGTCATCCTGGCAGATGCTGTCGTTGCCACAATTCTTCTCAAAGGGGAACTGCAAAATAAAAAAATGTGATAAAATGAAAGGAAAGGAAATAATGAAATATTGTGAAATAAAACAATAAAATAAAATATCGAAATAAAATTATGTGAAAGAAAATAAAATGAGCTTCAGCAATCTTGGCCTCTGTTCTCTTCCATGCCCCTGCAGGAACCCAACTCCAGGACTCACCAAAGCTGCGAAGGATCTCTGAGCATCCACAGCTAGGACTGGCCGAAGGTTCCCAAAAGTGGACAAAGGCTTCCCCACCAGAGAGAAGTTGAGGCGCAGGGAGATGGGAGTCACTGAGTCCTCTATACAATCCTGAGAGACAGCAGGGATTTGGGATTCTGCCCTCGTCAGCTTCCCAAGCCCAGCCCATTCTTGGAGCACTCACAGTCTGGCCACCCGCCTACTCACCGGCAACTGTAGCTTCAGAGTCTCACATTTCTGTGTCAGCCCCAAGGTCTGTTGCCGTCTGCGTGTACTGTTCTTTGTCTCAACAAAGATGGCACGGGAATTCGGGCGGCCAGAGTCCAGAGCCAGTTCGTAAGTGATCAAGCTCTGGATCTCTCCTGAAGGGGCAGAGTAGTGTGGTGGTGAGGAGCCCGAGCTTTAGAGTTAGACAGACAGGAGTTTAGGTCCAGTTCCTCTGCCCCGCCGGCTACGTGACTTTGGGCATGTTATCTGACCTCTCTGAGTCTCAGTTCCCTATTTTTAAAGTGAGGATAATAATTATACCTTCCCAATGGTGAAAATAAAATGAAATAGTGCCTATGAAGCATTTAGCACAGTGCCTGCCACATAGTAAGTGCTCAATAAATGGTAGCTAGTTTGTTACATAGTAGAAAATTAATTCTATTTTTTGCTATTTTCTACTGGGTTTCTTGGAGTATTGATCTGCACATTCACAGCTTAGGAGTTGGCCAATGACTTGAGACAAATTTTTTTGTAAATTCTGAGATAACTTCTCTGCAATTCCCTGCTCTTCTTTTCTCTTACTTTTCTCTTAATTTCTAGCCATACTGGCTGCCCCAATCTCTAACTTATATTTCCTCAGTCCAGTAAGACTGCTGCTAGATAAATTTTGGGGGAGGAAGAGAGATGGGTCTCACTCTGTTGCCAGGCTAGCCTCAAACTCCTGGGTTCAAGCAATCCTCCCACCTCAGCCTCCTGAGTAGCTGGAACTACAGGAGTGCCTCACTATGCCCATCTAATAATTTTACCTTCTCTTCCTATTGCTTTCTAGTACTGTCATTATTATTCTCCCACCCCAAGCACAATTCCACTCTTTGAGAATCGGGACAAGGGAGGAAGTCAGGTTACTGATGATAAAATGCATATCTGAATACTTTGTGAATTTGTGTTTAGCTCATCAGCTCAATCTCCCCAAATGAGTTTTCTCTCAGTTCATTTTTAAAAAAATTTGATTTGTTCACAAGTGTAGGGTGCTCAATTCACTGGAGAACTGAAAGAATAAAGAAGAACCACATGGTCACTTCTTTAGTGGGATTTGCTGGGCTTCCCCAACCAGCAGGGAAATAGCCTGCTCACTTTGGTCAAGCTCAGAGAAGGCTGCCAGAGCCAGTGAGAACTGTGCATGGGACTGCCAGAAGGCCAGACAGAACAGACTGAGCCACGCATCGATGTTCCTTGAGACTTACCAACCAAGCCTCACCTTGTCTTAGCCGATCCCTTGTGCTCTTGTGGACACGGAGGCAGACTTTGACCTCCCCAGCATCCCGGCTTTTTGCCGCCTGTTCATTACACTCAAATACACTCCTTGCCACTTCCCTGGGTGTGAACTCCATGGTCACCTCAACTCTCAGCACTGGCTGGGACCTGCAGGGACACCAGAAAACCATCTGGGGCCTTCAGACAGCAAAGAACCTCTTCAAAGGAGAACACTTGGTCTGCTCCAAAGGAATTCTCACCTCAGCAGCAGTACGTGCCCCTGGGCCCCTATAGTCAGGTCCACCAGTCCATCCATTGTGAGGTCCTGGCCCCCGCTCAGTGACTGACCAAAATACTGGAGACTGGGAGAGAGCTGGGAGCCTGAGATCCTCTGAGGGTAGGAAAGAGAGGAGAGAAATGGAGTGGGAAAGATTAAGCAGGTGTGTTACTCAGTCACCCAAAGTGACCCAAACACATGTTCTCTGAGCCCTACCCAAGTCTCATCTCCCATAACTAACCAAAGAATTAGGAAAACTTAGAACTTATCAAGGAATTATTCACCTTTAGACTACAACCTCAAGATGATACCCAAAATTCCTATTAACCACCTGTGTTTTCCAGGTAAAACAAACAGTTGTATAGGAAAAAGTGAAGGTATATTATTTGGCTCAGCTGAATCTCACTTATAGTCAGAATAATGCACTCAATATTGATCTAACCAAAACTGTGATATAAATATTAATATGAGGAGTGAATGGGAGGTAAAAGGGATGCTAATGTGTGGGAGGCTGAAAGAGAACTTGATCCTTACCTCCCCTGCGGGAAGTCAGTGCTAAAACAAAAATCAAAAAGTAGCCAAAGGCCGGGCGCGGTGGCTCACACCTGTAATCCTAGCTCTCTGGGAGGCCGAGGCGGGCGGATTGTTTGAGCTCAGGAGTTCGAAACC